ATTAAGGAATCAATCCGTAAGACGAGTCGTCTAGCTTATGATAATAGTTTTTGAAATATGAAAATAAAATATAAATGAAATAGTTGCGATGTTATTAACGAAGTCTCCGGACTTTATATCGTTTTGGGGCCTCTCGCTTTCACTCATTTACTGAATTCGAGATTTGTAAAACATTATGTTCCATGTTGTTTGAAATAAAGTAGTAGAAAACTGAATATCAGTTAACAACTGACACGTTATATGTTCTTACTGGTAGAATTTTAAATGCTTTGAAACATAGGTATTGATAACGGACCGAGAGTAATTAATTACATTTAGTTTGTATAAAATAAATGACTTGATTATCGAATAATCTAAGATGACTTGGTCAATAACGTTTTATGCATTATATTTCTTTCTTTAATTTAAGGTAAAATAACTATTGTGATCTTTTAGCGTAGTGAAATAAAAAGTTCTGGTAAAATGTTTTTCTTTTCCTTAATGTCGTAACAATTTCTTTACGTTATTACCATAGAGATATTATTTATAGAGTAGATATGAAAGGCCTGTAAATTACAAGTCTGTAAAGGCGGAAACTTATATATTTTTCTATGTAAAACTACTCTATGTGTTAATATCTCAATGGATACAGCAGGTGAAGCTTCGGTGCAGTATTCTGTGACACGACGAGGCGCGCCATGCCTTCTTGTGGATGGCTATGGATACGTGGCTCGTAAGAGACGAGGGGCGCGTGTTTATTGGTCGTGTCGGAGTCGCGCGTTGGGCTGCCGTGCTCGTGCGTTGACTAACGCCGGTCACCTCCTTGCCCGCGCAGCTAACCACAACCATCCGCCACATACACCAGCCTTAAACGATCACGAGCGTATTGAAAGCCTTATTGAGACCATCTCCAACGAAAAGTAATCCTTGCTTGATTACAATAGCTGTGCAAATCCCTACGTATATAAATTACGATCCATACGTACCGATACTTATGCGACGGCTACGAACCACCCTCAAATTGATTTTATTTAATTTATTAAAGAAGTTAATGGTACATGCGACTTTTATTACCCTCTCACCATGCATGCCTTATGTATTTGCTTACTAACTTTGTTACTAATGGATTTTGGTCGGACATAATACGCATGTGGATGATGTATATAGTGATGGGGGTGGTGTTTTGCAGTGGAGTTCGTGATATCGAATCGCGGACGACGGCATATGCGGCTTGGCGGCTTCTCGTTTTATGCGGAGAAGGTGTTTCCGGAGAAGAGCAAAGTCCGGTGGCGGTGTACGCGACGCACATGCCGCGCCTACGCGCACACCCTGCACGACCGCATTTTCGCGCTAAGTAACGTACATTCGCACGAACCGCCCGTGACTATGACGCATCGAACCATTGTCCACACCGCGCTCCCACCACTAAAAGCTATGCTAAACTAACTTTTTTAAATTAAAACAGTCATGCGTCTGGCGTGGCTGCTTAGGCTACTTGCACGAATTCCTCAATTGTTAAATTTAGATGATATTTAGGTCGCATATTAACTTATACTAAAAATGTCCTTACCACGATTCCTCTTTGCTCATATAACAAGATATGCATATAACAACATAGAACAATACTAAATTAGATTAGCGAATAATTAGCAGGTAGTATGTATAATGGTTTTCTTGATGTAACGTCACTTATAAAAAATAACAGTGACGTTTATGTTTATTCGGCAGTCACATTGGCGATGACTGCGTGTGTCTCTAGTCAATTTACATACGGGATTTTAAAATATTTATTTAATGTAATATGTGTTCCCTAAAGATGTTTAGTTTTTTTGTATAACATAAGGGGCATATATATATATATATATATATATATATATATATATATAGTTAATGATCTCATAAAACAAAATGTTAATAACAAAATAAAGTGTACGAAGTTAACGTAGGTAGGCACTCTCGAGTACTTTACGATCGAATGTGGACTGGTGTAGGTTCATTACATTTTAATAATTTAAGTTATAAAACTAATTAACAATATAAAAAATGTAGAAAACATATTTGTAAAATTTAGCAATAATAATCGAATTTGTAATATGTTACGTTCTCCGTTTAGTCTAGATCGACAAAATCTATTGTGAATCATGTATCATTGTATAATTTAGAGAACAATCTATGGCAATTTTCCTCAGTTTTCCTGTAAAGTTTAACTCTTCTTATCTAACTTATTATATATTGGCGTCAAATTCTAGTCATTCCAATTGTTATTAATTAAACTAAGCTGTGTAAAGAATCTCTTCGAATAGTCAATTTTTTTTGCACATAAATGTGAGTGAAACATGGAATTAGCTATTTATTGCGACCTATCCATTTATTTTGTGTTGTCAAAGCTGTCATTCAAAGCGTTTTTACATAAAATTAATTTCTAATTTATTTTGAATAGTCTGGCTAAGCCCATGTTGACGGTATTTTCTATTCAGAGTTTGATTATGTTCCGTTTCTGTTTATTCATTACAGTTTCATGTCGTTATAAACATTTGCATGTTAATATTACTATGGTAAATCTGAAAATTTTCGAGAACTACAACGGTTTGATGCTTACAGAAAAATATGTGCGTTTGTGCGTGGGGCCGGGCGGAAGACCGAGGCTTTGGGTCCGCGGACGGAGTTTCTACGCGGCGCATACGATGCGATCAGGAATTGTGCGTTGGCGTTGCACCATGGGCGGATGTGGCTGCAAGGCCTATACACAAAAGGGCACGTTACACAAGCTCGTGGGCGAACATAATCACGCCGGCCGCTGTGGTCGCCGAGGGTCACGCGCAGCCCCACCTCCGTCTCCGCCTGAACCGCTCTTGCTTCCCAGGATGCCACGACTCGACTTCGACAACTTCGATCCCAGCGCTTGGCTTGTTCGATATTAATGTAACTTCCTTACGCCTCTACTATTGAATCTTAGGGCACTTGACAAATCGTTGCAATATTTAAAAAAAACACTTATATGTTACGTATCTTAGTATAATATCCTGCATAATGCGCTGGAACCTTAAAACAATTTAAAGTTTAGATTAATCCTTAAGTAAACATTGCGAGGCAAGTGACCGTGTAATTGAGACGTGTATTTTACTTTTGATTATATACTTTTAATTATTTTTAAAACGAAAATTATTTTATTGTTTGGATTCAGATATATTTTAACAAATGATTTAGATTGGTGCAAACCTTATGTATGGGCAAAACTTCAGTATTAGTATTATATACGCCTCCTGTGTATACCAGCTCTAAAGGTCAGACGCATGTGCAGAATAAAGTTGAATATACAGGGTTATTTTGCAATAACCTCCCATATTTTCGAGAAGGTTCAGAATAAGTAATATAGGCAAATGGTGAAGAAAAACTAATTAAAAAAAAATCTTAAACATTCTATCCTTTTTATCTTTTAAATTCAAAACACACGCACACGCGGTAATGTATTATTTTAACTGATTGTCATTCATAAATATCTATTGCCTACTATTTTACTAGGCACGCAAACATTCATAAGGGTCGGTCGCTCGGTCGGCAAAAACGTTGTGAATTGAATCGCACACGCAATCGCAATCGCGCGTACGCGTAGTTGTTGCCCATAAATCACATTCAATTTGGGATAATTTCAAATAAAAATAGATGACTTATTTACTTGTATTTTCAAAAATTACATTAAGCTGCTCTCTTACGCAAGCGTTCTGCGAGAGCGTGGCCCTTCCAGATCGACCGTTCGGAGACTCTTTTTTTTTTACTGAAAACGAGGCATTCGATCTTAGTCCTTGGGGCTGACAAGGCATCTGCATTTGGATTCCTACTCAAAGACATATGTAAATGTTTATGGGCCGCAGTATCTACTTACCATCAAGTGGACTGTGTGCTCTTTTGTCGCCCGAGTCCTAGTACAATAAATTATCTCTTAACCTACGAATAAATAAATACGACAAAATATTTGTGTTGCTTGTCTCGCGACGTTTGATTTTAGTATCTACGCGTGTATTTTAATGTTCTTACTTAATAAATATTAAATGCACTACAGTGTGGTTATTAGCTAGAAAAGGTTTTATAATGTTTCTTTTTCTCACGAAGTATTATTGTTCAATTCAAAAAAATTGTATATGAATCAAGATTTATGTTGTCGTATGCCAAGTAAATGACTATATTCAACACAAAAATACAAGTTAATGTGTCATATTTTATTCTAGTCAGAGTATCATTTTCTAATTATGTCTTCAGAATTTATTGTGATAGTTGAATCGTCACATTAAGTTTGATCTCAACTTATTGTTAAGACTTAGGTGCCAAATATTGAACTTGTTCTTGTGAGTGACGCTTAGATAATTTTTAAGATTCTTATAAAATAATGTATCAATGGTGACGCCAACAAATTTTCTGACGTCGAATAGATGATAAAATGAATGGAATATGTAGCGTAAATTATTATTTTCTCCATGTAATGTTAGTCTTCCCTAATTGCTACTATACAGTTAGCCGATTTTTGTTTTAACCGTTATTGTGTTAGATAATTCCTAAAATAAATTTTTGATTTATTGGATTTATATCATAATGTAGTTTTTAGGTTAAATCTCTCTACATGCTCACGTGAAATCTTTGCTCAGTGTCAACTACTAAGCTACTTCCATAATGTGCCAAATGTTTTGCTCATTTTAGTTCATCTAAGGGGTGAATGTACAAAAATTATTTCTTCCTTATTATTAAACGTTAAAATCGCGAGTTGTGTACGTGTAAGTGCTGAATAAATAGATCGAATCTTACCCTCTTTTATTTAATAACCTGGTAATAAATAATCAAACAATGATGGCGAATTCTTTGTTTTATATGTTATGTACTTTGTTGCGAAGATTTTTTTCATTTCTTTGATTTTCGTCCTTTGCCATGTACAATCAATACACATGAAGATATATACGTAATTGGTTTTACACGGTAGAGTTTATCTGTTTGTAGCCGAACTGTTTGCTAACGTGTGTTTTTTCCACCAGCGCGCTTCATCCGCGCCGGCAAGGGGCGCCTGTTGTTGCACCGTGGCTACACGTTCCGTCTGAAGAACAACTTGGCACACGGTCGCAAACAGTGGTACTGCTCGTCACGCCTCACCTCGCGCTGCCTCGCTGATGTCAACACCGAAGGCCCGGAGGGCTTCGAGCGTATAGTTCGTTCGCGCTACGCCCACAATCACGCGCCGCCGAATGTGCGGCGTTTCGCCGACGGACGCTATGTGGTGCGCACGCCGCACCAGAGTGGGCACCGCGCACCCGCTCCCCTCGACCCCCACCATCAGCTGCTGCAACTTCAGCACGCGCTCGCGCTGTACGCCGCCACAGCACACGCCAACGCCACAGCAAACGCGACCGCAGCCGCCTCCGCCGCCACCGGCCCGGCCCCTCAACAGTCGCCGAACTCCCTCCCTCCTTCGCAAAATGCACCCACTGCAAAACCCTTGTTGGTCGACACACCTTGCAATGAGGAGGATTAGGCTCTTTTTGTAAACGCGGTTGAAATTTCACATTGGAGCGAAAATTTCACGATTTTGACGACGATGATATATCGAGCAACCGATATATTCCTCGAAGCCTTTTGGCACATATAATGTAGTATAAATTATATTTAAAGTAATTTTTATTAGGTAAGATAAATGGGGATAGGATGGTTTTTATTAAGATTGCGATGGCATCGTTGGAGTTATTTAATATCGGTAATATGAATGTATGTAAAACCTTCTTAAGTCAAGAAAAGATGTTGCGATATCATAAATGGCACGACCACCAGTGGTTAAAAGACCAGTATGTCGAGGTTATTTATCGCGACACTTAGGTTAAGCGGTCTTATCGAGGTCTATAATGTTATTCATATATAGGTGTGGGTTATTTATGGAAAGGAATAGGGAATGTTAGGATGTTAATGTGTAAGAACTTTCTGAAGTTTTATGGAAGGCAGCCTTTACACATTTATTGATAGCTGTTCAAATCCTGATATTGATATGCATTACATTCCAAATTATAAAATGTAAGAGGACCTTACGTCACAGCATTGAACAATGGCAGATCTTCCAAGAAAAGGTTAAATAAAAATAAAATACAATTAATTATCAATGAAGGATGATATGCATGAGTAACTGTGTACAGGCTGCCGATCGTGTCACCTGTAATGTTATCAGATATTGGTAGATGGTTACTATCCGGAATTAGACGAAATTACGTGTATGATTTCTTATAAGCTCAATCTATCTGAGCAGCACATCATAGTAGCGATAAGCAAGCTGGTCTGCACATGAGGTAGGTTGGAACAGGACCCGAGAACGACCGCAGGGAAGTCAGGCGATCGACAGAGAGCGCAAGTCAAGGTTCAGCGGTCTCCACCGCTGACTACGCGTCGGTGACTGATTATGCGGAATCGATTTGAATGTAAGCAATATAATATTGAATCCCTGGACTGCACTTAGAAATACTTTATTTATTTTGAGAGTTTTAAATTTACATATTCAAATGTTGCTACTTAGAGGATTATAGACGTCCGCCTTTTTTATCTATAAGAAACATCCCTTGTTATTGGATATTTTGAAATATGCAATCACCTACCTTCGAGTGTAAATGCTGTGCTCCCGCGCGGCGTCGTGTCGGGGGCTCCAGTCGCAGTCGATGTTTTGCTCTTAGGATTGATTTTTAAGTACTTAAGCTCAATCAACTACCTCTTTCACTTTTTATACGGGTTTTACAGAATAGTTTAATTATACAATTTTATATACACGAATGAATACTCAGAAGCTTTACTCTAGTAAGGTGTTATAGGTTAAAATTAGGTTAGGATTATAGGTTAGTCAAGCGCGTCGGGGCGGTACTCCGCGCAGGGTCCGACGCGCTCTATTATTACCTCTACTATTGAAACTCAACTACCTCTTTGAATAGTTATTACTTGTACTCGATAGTTCTCTGTTGATGACTTTAGTATAAATAATTATACGAGACTGTTGTCTGAATATATTTTATTAATTGTTTTAAAATAATAATTTGTTGCTTGTCTAATTTTTTTTTCAATGAGAACGTGGACCTGCTTATTTTGTATATTCTAAGACTTTAATTTAAGTACAAATTTTGACTAATTGTAATTGTTGTTTAGATGACTTAGGTATCTTGGGGTCTTAATGTATGTTTGGATGAAGTAGCGGGGTAAAATTTTTTTAATCAATAATTTATTGTAGTTCGTGTCAAAACTTTTACTTTTAAAATAAAGATAACTATAATTCTTAAAAAGGCAACTCAAGTGATTTTGTATTAAACGTTGTATGGGCTTAATGTTGTTTACGATTTATATATTTAATGCAAGTGAAATTAATGAATTAGTCACATCAATACCGTTTAATGTAAAATCTACTTATATAGATATAAGATTTTGAATTGTATTTGGTCGTTTTGAAAATTATTTACAAATCTAAAATAATTTACCACGTTCTATGGCTTTTCTTAGCATCACTGTGCTAAAGCGATACATCACTGTGCTGAAGCGATACATTGTAACTCGTTTGGCCGCGGCGAAATTCTGTATCATAATTATTTTAGGATTAATATATAACTTAATTCTACTTAATATTAAGGGAAATGACAATATGCGTCAATTATATAAAATACGATTTTACCATAGTGAATTTGATGCAAAATTTAAATCATCCGCTTTTGTATACGCGTCTTTTACAGTTGTATTTATTGTAATGAACAGTTTTTGGCACTTCCTAAGATTATGTATATATGTACCTAATGGCTATGTTTGTACTTTTATGTAGTGTGAATGAATCTCATAGTAATCGATTTTTTATGAAAGTTTGAGGACCGCTGTCGCCGCGGCTCGGCATTCGACCAGTACACATCAAGTTGTTCCTCTTTAACACTAATCTATCTACCTCATTCACTGTTAACTACTCGATATGTTTACAAGTCTTTTACGTAGTGTAATTTTGTATTTACCATTATATTAATAAGGAGAATTTGGGTTTATGTATGGGGTATGTTTTGTGAAATATTACATTGTACTTATAAATAACCGTTCGTTTTATTTACACAGTTTTCAAGTAAATGTTTTATTTTTTCTGTGTTTTATTCACCGAGTTACACCGTGGTGGTGGTGTTGGGAGAGGTATTGGTGAAAGAAGGTGTAAATATTTAAATTCTGACAATCGTTCTTGTCGTAGGAATCAAGTATTTGAAATCGCGCCGCGGGAAGGTCATCATGATGGTGAACACGTTTCCTTTCTGTGAGGAGTCGAAGTTGAGAGATAAAGTTATTTGGAGATGCACTTCTAAGAAGACGAATTGTAAGGCGCGGATTCACATGTTGGGCACCAACGTAGTTGCCGTCAAAGGCATGCACAATCATCCCCCTCGAGCCCCTACTTCTTGATGCTGCTTTTTGCTCATTTTCGATGATTTATCGAGCTTAGAATTGTTCAGGGGAAAGATTTTTCTTTGATTGGACGAAGTTATGGTTTAGGTTTTATAAATTTAAGCATTTTCATAGCAGGTTTTTGCGTAAACTTAATAGCAGAAGTTCGTTCTTTGGAACAAAAAAGGAGATTTTCATTAGAAATGAACTCGTATCTAAAGAAACAAGCTATTTCGAGTTTTGATACTAACAGCGAAATTACTGATTTAGCATTATTAATAATATATAAATCTAAATGACACTGTTCTCAAACCGAGTATTGTTTTTGTAGGCCGATCTAATGCGATTGTACTCGTTTAGTAAAATATATACGCTTTTTAAACTTAAATTCTACGACTTAGTTCTAGAGTGAGATTGTATACGCAATATCATTGGAAGATTTTATGTAAGTAAATTTAAGCTCGAAAATTTAATGTTGTTGAGGAAACGATCTTAATTGTATCTGATAAGCTTACATCTAGAATTTATATTAGTAATTAGTTAGTAAAAAATTACCACCTATATATAACTTAAAATATAAAAACAAAATATTAAATCATTCCACGTAGTATTTCCGCCGTGTTATTATTGCAATTTTGGTGTTTATTTGGTAGATTGTTTCAGAGTTTATCACTGAATGTTGTGACATATCCATTGTGTTGATGTTAAATTAAAGTTTGTTCAAATATATTTATTACAAGACAATGTAAGAGCCATTCGGTTCCTTCGCAATGCGTATTATGGTTGACGATAATCATGTGATAATGAAGTTTGTGGTTAGGTGCATATATTTAGTATTGGTTAAGCTATCGAGAAATTATTGCTATTGTAATGTACTTATGATGATATAGATGCTGTCGATTCGATATTAGATTATTTATTCCATGTTGAACATATGACGTTTTAAATTTAAGTAAACACGTGCCTTACGTATGTGGGACCACTTTCAAGTTAGTAGGATTTAATCGACGTAATGAACATTCCTTATTAAACATTATTCCCGTTTTACATTATACACTTGTAATTTAATTTTTTTTATATTTGAGAATAGTTTTAAGTTTTCGTTGAATTATTAAGAGTATTACTCATTAAGAATTAAATATAAAAATACGTTTATATAAATCAAAATCACGTCTTTTATTAATTAAATTGCATTACAAATTATACGATGCAGCAGGAATGCAATCAATTGATTTTTTATTTATGATTCAATAAAATCCTTTTTCGCATTTGTCTTGAAACCGTACTCTTGTCATAGGTCATGGCAGGACGAAGGTCTACATATGTACATACCTACTTGTCTAAAATATATAAAATAACCATTTGTTTTAAGATAATTCAAAAGACACGTTCAGCATTCACGTTCAGAAAAGGTAGAAATAAGCCTAAACTGGTTAAAAAATTTTTAGGATCACAAAAAATGCACTATAGAATTAACTTATTTTTATTATACTTATCGAATGACAAAAATGTGTTTTACTAAGACTTAGACATTTCATTACTCACAATCTCAAATCCGATGTTTATGTTACTAAAATAATCTTGTAAGAAAATGTCTGCCATCGCGTACAATTTTCAATAAATTAATATTTTTTAAAAACGATGGTTCATTCCTAAAAATAAAAGTTGCAATATATTAACTGCGAGGCGTAAACGGAACTGGATCTTGAGCGGATTGTCATTTAATAAGTTTCCTCTGCTCCGAGTGCTGGAGTTAAGGAGTGGAGGCAAGAAAATCGGCTGTAGAGCCACATCTAGAAGGGAGAAGTTATTGCTTATCATAATTACCATAACTATGAAAATGCTAGTTATTTTCAAAAGACAAAAAGGTGATTCAGTAATAAATATGTATTATTAATAAATGGATTAATAAAGTTATTAACATATTCCGTTTCATTTTGTTACAATATTGGTGATTAATATGTGTAATTTGATAATGAATAATCAAAAACTTTTATGTCATCATCGATGATATAAAAATGTATAACGTTCAGTGCCTGACGTGGAAAAGATTTTATATTTTAATCGGTAGGCCAGAACGTTAAAATGAACTAAATACTTAAGACCGCTTAATATAGATTATCGTAAGTTAAACACATTCACGACTTTTATTAATGTAAATGGTGTTTTTTTACAGAGGCTTTCTTCCTACCATCTAGAGCTGGGAAATCGGTGTTAATATTTCGGCGCAACAAGTTCTGGGTCAACAATCAGTATCGCGACAAATTAAACTGGGCCTGTCGGGATAAAGATACAAAAGGCTGCCTTTGCAGGGTTCAGACAACCATGGAAGGTCGATTCGTACGCGTTAAAGGGGAGCACAACCATGACCCGAACTTCACGCCGCAAAATTTTGATTCGTCCGCGGAGAGATTATTTAATGAATGGCGGGCCAATATGCTCTTAAACAATGTAAAGAGCACGTAGCGTACTAACATTAAGCTACTTTAATTGTAATACAATATATACAATTGTGTTAAGACGTTTTAGCCCCTTATCAATATCATCCTTAGTGACTTCTACGGCTGTGACGTTAACAGATAAAATCGTCTATTCCAAAATTAATACATTCCAGTTAGTTAATATCAATAAAAAAAAGTGTGTAACATACTAATAAAATGTTGTTATAATCATAAAATTTTAGGTCAAATTTCAGTTTTATTATTAGAACATCGGTAATTTATGCGCATTATTCTATAATTAATGAAAAACTTGATTGAATTTGCCTGTTGGACTATTTCAACAGGCAAATTCAATCAAGTTTTTCATAAAATTTCATGTTTTAACAAATTATCTTTTACATTCCAATTGTTTCTTTGATTCATATATTAAATAATACGTTATTATATTGGAAATTCTAAAGTAATAATAAATTGGGCGATGATATTAAAGTAAGAAAAAAACGTCATTCATTACTTAATATGGTTTCTTTTATAAGATATTTTTGTAATAAATAAATTGTGTTAGAGTTAGCATTAATTTGAACCCTAATTTAAATTAAATAAACCTTGTCTGATCTGATTACCATGTGGATGGTTATTTAGTATATTATGGACTAAGCTGCAAAGTGATGTTTAAAATAAAGTATTTTTATATTAATACAAATGCAAACCTTTTTATTTTAGATCTTTTGTAACCGTAAATGATTTGACAACATGAATGAGGGCGTATTGCATGTTGTAAATGTATATTTGCAGTTTATTGGGGCGTATCAAGGTTTGGCAACCCTGTGCTGGTGTTGAACGGTCATAGATTCAGGCGTGCGGGCTCGCTGCGTGCGGGCCGGGTCACATGGCTGTGCATCAAGTCGGATACAGGTTGCAAATGTTATGCGATAACCTTCAAAGATCATCTCGTAGCCACCGGCAATCCTCACGTGCATTACATCAAACAGCGAAAGCGAAAACACAAAATCAAAATCAGAACACACAAACGATTCTACCTTAAAACCGATCATAAAATTGTAGGGCTTTAGGAAACGATTTGTTTCCTCCATTAATCAGAATCCTTGCATTGTGATTTTGTTTTTCATCATATCTTATTGTATAATTTGAATACTTACCGATCACCGTTCTTTTTTTTATAAAGATTTAAAAAATACTGTTATTAAAAACATATATGCTTTGTTTTATTTTTAGTAAACGTAATGAATGTCGTGTAAATAGAATAATCTTGTTCTCGTTATTTTAAATCACGTAAGTAATTGGTTTGATTGTGTTACTAACAAAGCAGTTTATAGTTGCAGGCACAGTTACAACACCGGAAGCTCATCCGACTTTGGGACTGCCGTTTCCGTTTCCATGCTTTCCTGGGCAATTTCGTTACTGTCTTAGTAAGCGTGGAAAGCCAGCTATTGAAGTGGGCGCGCATCGTTTCTGTTTTAACGGTCGAGCTGCAAGCGGAAAAGTTTGGTGGCGCTGCTCCAGGAATCCCCGATGCCGAGCTGCTGTTCACACGTTCGGCTTACGCGTTGTTCAGATGAATAGCGCGCACACATGTGGTGTACGCGCTACACCATTAAGGCCTATGTTTTAAGTCGCTCAAACCATGTAACAAATGTCTTTACACAAAACATATTTTCGTACAAAAGTTTGTCATCTGTAAGACCACCGGCGAAATACATGCTGTTGATACTGGCACGGAGTGATCTCGATGCATAATATTCTACGTAAGATTTGCGATAATTGATGTTTGGACACGAGATGTATAAGCTGGTTTAAATTTATACAATTTGAAGGGATGTCTTAAATTTTGCTTTTGTGCCTTTTCGTCGGTGGTATATACGCTTTTAATATATCTGTATTTCGGAAGAAAATAAGGTTTAGCATGTTGGTTTAATAGGCTTAAAGATACCCCAAAGAGATTATAACACGATATGTAAGATATTTAATTGACCTAAATACAGATTTATAAAGATATTTGCACCGTGTTAGGTGTATCTTTTTATAATTAATTATTATTTATTAAGATGACCATATGCAGTTGTATTTTTGGGTAAGTTTCTATTTAATCGTGCAGCTACATAAATATTTTTAAAACAATATACACTCAGGGCCTCCTTTTATGGCAAGTGAATGCTTATCTAGTTTTTACGGGACAAACTTTTAGAAAAAATATAGATATACAATAGGGGTTGTTTTATTTCCAGTGGGATCTCAGACTTAAATCGATCTTCCTTCCGCGACGGGTGGTTGTAGTTTGTTGTATAAAGTGATAGTTCTCTTATGATACCCTAAGTATTTTTGTATATTCCTTTTACATATTTTTTTACAATTTTATTCGTGTACATAGAATTGATTGTTGAAGCGGAGTTAACTCCATGCGGTTGGGTTTGGTTGCGATTTGAGAAAGTTATGGTTATGTTGTCGAGTCGCACTAGAATGTACCATTCAAGTCATGAATTGTATACGATTGTAGGAAGTTGTTGAGGCGTTGTTAAGTAAGGATTATGCATTTATTGAACGATCGACTTAATTATAATACTCAATGTATACGTTGTAGATTAAGTTTTTCTTTAGTGAGATTTTTTGTTTTATGTAAAATTAAACTGATTTATACTATTTTTCTTTGAGTAAGTACTTAATGAACATATTGATAGCTTCTATTTTTACAAAGGTTTATATTGGTGATAATTTTTTTAATCCAATAAACCTTGTTTACCATGAACGTTTATACCAGTTTCTACCATTTGAGATGTATACGATTGTATTTTATAAGTTAACCTTTCGAGTATTATTCTTGAAGTATTATTTTGTGTATGTGATAAGATGTATTATTATTATTTTAGAAAGAAAGTATATTATGGATAGCGGTAGCTATAAGCGACAGTGGCTGGACGGAGAATGTATACGCTGTGTAGTTATTATTGGTAGATGGAGACTAAATGTCTCGTGTTAGGTACAAAGAAAGGATTATATGATCTGAATATATATGCATCTTTTATTTAAAAAAAATATAATTTATTTTTCGGTTGATTGGAACCTATTATATACTCCTGTATAGAATTAAAAAAAAAGCGATTAACATGAAGATCGGGCACTGAATGGTATTTAAAAGTCACAAAAAAAAGCTGCATTAAATAATCAAAGACTAAATTTATCCTGAAATAGAGACGATCCGCAGAGTGATTTTGTAACTCTGGTGGGAATCGTGGTTGGATTTGTTTTACCGTTTGACGTTTGGTTTTGTTGTATTTTGTATATTTATTAATATAGATTAATATTAAAGATTATAAGGCAATGTCTTTTATATTAGAATCGTTTTATGTTTCAAAATATTATTATAATGAAATATTGTCGACATAGTGGCGATGTGATTCCCACCGGCAAACGATTGCCACCAGTTACATAATCGCGCTGCTAGTTCAATAGCAACAAACTCTGCTTATTATATGTTACGAATGCATATATTATTGCCGTTAGAAAATTAAACCATCTAGAACTTCTTTGGATCTAGGAGCAAGGCCAACTAGATTTAAAACTGCTTATGAATTTTGCTAGAATTGATACTTCAAATTGTAATGAGTATTTAACAGATGGATAGAGGTAACTATAAGCGACAGTGGCTGTACGGAAAACGTATACGCTGTATGCTGCTGATGGTAGATGTGGACGAAATATCTCGTGTATAGGTACAAAGAAACAATTATATGATCTTAATTTATATGGATACTTAGCTGATTTGTTTTCAAATGTGTTAATTTCAACAGATTATAATGTAACGTATTAATCATAAAATTAGTTACATATGAACAGTTGGTAGTTACCTATATTCAATGCGAATAAAAATTGTTACATAGGTCTACAACCGATGTTTTGTTGCAGGCTGGTTTTACATACGTTCCGCGCGCGGCGGTCTTCATCTTGTTGCGGACGGTCATATATTCTACGAAGATGGTGGATCCCATCCTCGCCGGGTTACATGGCGATGTGCCAGGTCCTATCAGAAAGCTGAGCGGTGTCAAGTTGCGCTATGTCTAAGAGACGGACGGTTAGTGTACTTTAGAGGTACTCATAATCACCCACAAACGTATAACCCTGCGAAACACGAATCAAGGCGCTTTGAAGTGGATCCAATGGGCAAGTATAAGATAGTGGCCAGCATTACTCCAAGGACATTCGCAATGGCAGCTCCTCCTCCGCCACCTGGGCCACACGCCGCTCTGCTCCTCTAGGCCTGGCGCGACCTCCTTGTGCAAGGTTTCCTAGATAGGAGACACTGACCTAGCATTTGGAGTGTCGCAAAATATGCCCATCTTTGGCTCCCTAACGTTTCGAAAGTTTTGTAAAGACATTATGAATAGCGCTAATATGGCTATTTGCAGAGTTAATAATTATTAGTCTTTGTTATTATATAGTTATTTTTGTTTATGCATATAGTCATTTATGAGTTTTCTATATACTTACACCATAATATATAGCGCACAGTATTATTAAATTAATTTATATTGGACACAATACGTCGGGTTTTTTTGTAAAGTAAATTAATTTTGTTTATGCTAGATGATCTTATATAAAAAAATAGATTTCGAATACGATTGTATCTATCAATGCGACTAATATAATGAATGCTGTTATAAATTAAAACGGTGACTACAAACATAAATGTAATCATTATAACTTGAACGTGCAATATTCTCTTACCAAAATGTTTAGAGGTTATGTATACAAACTGTATAGCTTTAATGATAGCGTAGCCGTCTTGTTGAAGCTTTTTTATAAAATTCTATTTATTGACCGCGGCGTAGTTAGCGGTACGACTGATAGACGATGTTACGAAATACTCCAATATTTTAATTCGTATCTAGCTGTAGACGTAGTATAGCATAAAGTATACAAGCTTATGAAACAAATACAAGCGATAGTTTTTTAATAGACTTACACGTATATTGTATATGTAGATATTTGACTATTCTAATAGTTGAGCGGGATACCTTGTTACCACGTTGTAGCATATTAGACTTGATTATTACTGACCACATAACCGGAACATTAATTTAGTTTTAAATATTTTTGCGATCATTGTCAACAACACCCGTTAACGACACTCAGTAGCGCCATTGGCAAAATGATGGTGTACGCTATAATTTTGGTAACAATCACACGAATATTTTAGGAATAGATTTAGGTGCTGTATTTTTGATTCTTATTTAAATTATTAATGGCCAAGTATTACTGTACGACGTATTTTTATATATAGGTGCGTCTGTTAGTGATCGTGTAACTTTTGAACGACTTGACCGATTGAGGTCATTCACACAATATATTGCTTGTGTCGAGACTAGGATCCGATTAGTGGCGCTCTAATGCAAAAAAAATTGTTAATAACTTACGAATTCTATATTTATGGACCAAAAGAACCTCAGATTATATGTTGGTTCAGTGCCAAATAAGAAAATCACAAAATTTGGACGTCGTACTATTTCATTCTCACTAAAAATTTTGGAGTGAAACTCCAAAAACACGAGTGAAACACCACATACCGAAAAGAGCAGAATAACGTCTGCCAGGCTAGCTAGTATTAAGAAATAACGCATGGGACAACAATACTCGTCAGTTAACGCACAATTTTGTCAAAAATGTCACCAAGTGTCGTTTAATGGTGTAGTCGACAAAAAAATGTTTCGACTAGTTTGCTACGTAATGATTTTATGAAATTTCTATATAATCGTAATATTAAGTTTTTGTATTACATAAGTATCACCATTGAATTGTTATGTATTGGATTACTCAGTTATTTTGTTTTATATTATATTATTAACAAATGCGACAGCTATATACTTATTGTACGCATCTATTGTCAATGTACCAAATATTTTTATGTTTATATTTCTTAATACATTATTACTTATTGCAATTTTTCATTGATGCTTTTTACCATTAACTATATTCTTACACATCAGAATTGTTTTTGTTTGTATATTGTGTACTGGTTTGTATGTGTAAGGAACTAGTTACATCGATTTTATTTATCGTGAAGTTTTTTACGGTTCGAACAGCTTTTTTCTCGGCGGAGTACTCGTGCCCACTGCTTGAGGAGAAAGATGGGCCTTTACTGAAGATGGCAGGACACTGGTATCGTCTGGACGGCTGCTATCAAGGAAAGAGACGTTGGACTTGTGCACGCGGCTGCGGGGCTAGAATCCACACCCGCGGAAAACGCATTGTCTTCTCAGAGTTAAGACATCGGTGTAGAAATCTTACTAATCACAGTATATGATAATTATTTTTAATAAAAGTGCCTAAATACTAAGTACATCACTTACACTCACGTACACAAGATCAGTTTGAGTATCCATTTTTATAGTTGAATTATTTCTTAGCCCACCTGTGATAGTTTTAATGTGCTATAAAAAAACATAACATTATTTACTAATATTTTGAGTAATTGTTGTTAAGGTTTTTTTTTTAAATAGTTTTACCTCTTTTAGTAATTATGTAATAAAGTATACGTTCTTTTAACGCCTTTGTTTTATTTAAATTGAAAGTTAGGTGTGTTTTGTGTATAAATAAAACTAACTTGATTGGTATGTTGCAGTTAAAGTGATTTATAACCAGAAGGGGTATCCGAAGCTATCGCTGGACGGATATTACTACAGGCCTCACAACGCGTACAGGAATCAACCAAAAGTGTTGTGGTATTGCGCTGCTCGAAACAAGTTCCAGTGTACGGCCACGCTGCGGACTATACATCGAGAGGTCGTGGCGGTGACGGGGGCCCACAACCACGCACGCTGACCGTTGCGTGGGTGTGCGCCACGCCCGCAACGCACGCAACGCACACATCCCTCCACGCTCAATCTACACGAAGTGTTCCGTCTTTACGGCGAGCGACTTGCGCAGCCCGATGGAAACGCTAACAATAGTAATAGTAATAATTAGTTTTTAGGAAGCCATATTGGATTGTTATTTAACCATAAACAAAATCCATCTCATAATGATTTATTATATTTATGCGAACTCTACACATTGAACGAAACTGATTTTTTGGAGATATTATCGCGTTTTATCAACTTATCTTATATTCCAAATGTTTCGAGTGCTCGTGATCGAGTTTCGAGTTATGTGGTTAACTATGACATTGGAACGTCGAACACCGCAGTCCCTCCGTGACCTTGGGTGTTGCAAAGTACTCTAAACGTTAGGAATATAAAATAAGTTGATTAAACGCGATAAAATCTGTAAAAAACAGGTTTACTCATTAGACATTTTTTACCTCTGTTTTATTCTTTGTTATAAATCAGTTCCTATCTTGTAAAGTTTGTATTGTTTTGCATGTTGTATGTAAATGTAATTTAGACTGCAATAATAGTTGTCATGTCTATGTATATAAAATTAACCTATATTATAAAAATATTTAAGATCTATCAGTGTTTCATTTGGATGATAGTTTTATTTTTAACTTTGGTAGTATAGTTGAATGATGACTGTTATCTGCTGGGTTCAGATGCAGTTCCTGCGCTATACGTGCCATCGAGGACCGGGAAGTCGCTGCTTCTCCACGACGGGTATACCTTCTACTTAAAGAATCTCCAAGCACATGGCCGCAAGCAGTGGTATTGTTCATCCCGGGATATGGCGGGATGCCGAGCTGACGTTATCACGGCTCCCGCGCTTTCTGGTGATGGGGATATCTTGTTCCTAGTCCGCGGTCGCCACATTCACGCGCCCCCCAGTTACTACTTCACCCATGACGGCAAGTACGTTAGAAGGAAAGACGCGTATCATAGATACAGGTAGCGACGTAAAGCCCGTCTAATAATTTTCGGTAATGTGATATGAATAGGGTGCAAGGATATGAATGAAGCTCTGTTTTTTTTTTAATTTTTTTCTAATTTGTATTTGAAGTATTTTTACATGTGTTTAAATAACTATGTAGCTAACCAGTTTTTTTATACTTATTTTTTTTAGGTACGTATTTTTTTACGTAGTGAAGGTATTAATAATTAGATAGTACAAAATTATATTCTTTTTTATTTTTTTTATCTAAGCAACTGTTTACACCATTAAAATCTATCGCATTCAATATCAATTTTTATTCATCACAGAGCTTCCCTTTTTATTTTATTTTTATTATTGCTATCCAATAAAGTCGTGAACAATTTGTTGATCATGGGCTGTCCCAAGTTGAGACGATCTGCCATAAAATATTGCAACGATTGTTATCGGTATGGGCTGTATGATTGTTGTTGCCAGGGTGCGTCGAAAATCCGATATTTGATATATTATATCGGATATAAATGTTAAATAAAACTTGCTTTTAATAATTAGAAATGTTACGTATAATAAATAGAAAAACTTTAGTTTTTATTAAACTTTTTTGTTATTGTCAGTCATGCAGTCATTGCAGTTTATGTGCGATTCCTGCCCGTAAAACATAAAATTTAAATATCTAATGATATATGCAAATATAAATATCAAATGATATAATCTAGACCCTAGCATATTGAGATCGATATTTCGCCGTCAGTAAGCGATGAAATTTTGCTCACTTTCCATTTTCATCGTTACCTGTGGGAAGATTAATTCCTTAAGGTTTTTATTTTATAATCACTAGAAGTAATATTACTTTACGTTGAAGGTAGGTTGTGTTAGTATTTTATTAAGTTGAGAGCAATTCCCGCCTTGTAAATCGATTATTCAAATTTACTTTGATGAATAATTATCTTCTTTACATCTTGTATTACATTACTTAATAATATATTACTACCATAAAATATCACTGAGTAATGAGGTTAAAGTTTTTTTTTAAATAAGACTAGCAGTTACCAGCTGAGTATTTGCTTTATGTTAGTCACTTATTTTATCGGAAATTATAGGTTTAATATTTTTATTCTTAAGGTACTGATTCTCGCGCTTCTTAAAAGCTAAACTGTCAAATGTCATTTCACTTATTCATCCATCATTCATTACAGCCAATCTAAGTCCACTGCTGAACGTAGACCTCGATAAAGTGGGATAAAACTTGACCTTCATGCCATCTGCTAATAACTGCTAATGGTTGTTTCAATCTGTAATGCAGTGCGAAGGGCTATTGCGAACTGAATATTTTTGGCGTTAATCAACTAACAGATATTATCTACTGAGAAAGAAAAAACACTGGTTTTATCAGTCGTCGCAACATGCTGGAAATGCCTCAGAAGCGCGTTAGTCGGAGAAAGTACTTACTCGTTTTTCTTAGTTGGCAAAATATTTAAGATTATATTATAACTTCATTTATTCTTACACAAAACGGAACAACCGGAATTATTAATAGCAATACATTTTTTCGTACTCAAGGATTTATTGTAAATAGCTTTTAGAAGGAAGCTTTTGGAAGCTTGTAGAAGTTAAAATTGTACATAAAACGAGATGCGGTTGCATCTTAATTATGCTCTGATGTTTTCTTATAATCGAATCTTTGCATATTCCTTTGTTTAAATTCAAGAAGACTGATTTTACTACCGACTTCAAAAAGGAGAGGTACTCAATTCGACTGTATGTTTTTTTTACTGTGTGTTACCTCATAACTTTTTTCTGGGTAAACCGATTTAGATGACTCTTTTTTTATTTGAAAGCTGGTGCTTCTCATGTGGTTCCATATAAATTTCATCACGGTCTGACCAATAGTTTTTCAGTTATTCTTAATAATTTATATTGAAGTCGGTTGTACAACATTTTTAATTTTTAATAATTAAATATCAGAAACTGAACATATTAAAAAAATAAACATGTTTTCATATGTAATTAAGCGTGACTCGTTTCTGTTTCTGTTTCTTACTTTCCATAACTTTGAAAGATTCTAACGATATGATTGGACTGAGCCAAACTTAGTTGCCGACAGTTTATGGATTTGTTTCACTTTATCGTGTTTCGATGATTAAATTTAAACATACATAACGACGTCGTGAGAGGCGACAGAGCGAAATGAAACAGGATACGTGCAGCAGCATCTGCCAGATTATAACTCAAAATAATAACAAATACTGCGCTTGCTAACCAGATCGCCAAGCGTGGCAGCAATGACAAATACAAAAATATCCTATATATAACATACGAAGCAATTTATGGGAGAGGCCTACGTTTAACATTGGACTTATGGTAAGCTGCAATGATGATGATTATGGTGATGATATCGTGTGGGTCCGGTTCCGTTGTAGAATACATAAAGAGAAATTTCACTTGTTACTTAAAAATAATATGAATTGGAATTGCCAAACTGTTTTCTTAAATTTATAAACGAAATGTAAAATACTTGGTATTTTCATTTATTAAATTGTAATATTTGTTGCTATTTTTAAATTAAAAAAGAAATAATAATAAATAAAATTTAAGTCTGTCATAAGTGTTGGTTGAATGGTTGGCTGTGTTAAGTTGCTTTCGTTTATTAAAGAATTTGACTTATCAAGAGTTTAATTTTTTTTTATATTTCAGCAGTGAGTAGTAATAATTTATATATTGATAAAGTTTGCTCATCTAATATATAAAAATTAAAATGCTCATGTGAATGGTATCTAATAACTAACCACTTAATGTTATGAGGGTTCTGAAGATCCTTGCCAATATTTGAATGGAGGAATTATCGAATCGTTGACATGTGTCTGAAGACTTTAAATTACTACCATTTCATTTTATCGAGTCAAATGCAAATATTGTTTTCATGGAATAAAATTAATGTACTTAAAATTCCCGACGTTGAGATTGTTTGCTCATTCATTTCACTTATGAACTCTTTTCCGCATGATTAAGTCGCAAAGCCGTTAAAGAATTTAAATTTAAATTAAGTGAAAGTTAAATGCGATAAAATCCGTAATATTAGTTTTGTTTAATTTAAAGTTAAGTCATGAAGCGATGAAATTATTGGTTCTCTTTGATGACAATGAATAAAATAAGTATATTGTTTAAACTGAGTCGTTCTTGACTTTTTTTTTATGCTCCAACGCGCTATAGACAATCACAAATCAAACACAAATATGCGACGGGGAAAGATTTGATGCAGAGAGAAATATCGCAAGACCACAGGTTCGGAAATATTGATAAGCATTGATTCTAAATCAGGTCAAATCTCTAAACATTCTACTACTGTACTGTTTTTTTTATAGTAGTAAGAATGACAAACGAACATGCAGTCTACCTGATAGTAAGCGAATGCTGTCGAAGGTGTCAACCTATAGAGACAGAGTCAGCTTTGTCAGATATTTTATTTTCAGGCAAAGCGTAATTTGGAAACCATTTAATAAAAAAACAGGATCCAATCGACAACAGTAATAATTTATTTTAATGAATTTCTATATATTAGTATGTAGGTGTATATATTTTATGTTTATTTACATGATATGTCTATAGTTATTTTTAACAGTTTTTGTAACAACTACCAACTTTAACTTTTCTATTTCTCCCAGGGTTGACTGATAGAGAATGCCATATAAAGGCATTAAGTCTGCCTATTGAAACCCTTATATTAATGTGTCTTACGATAAAGATTAAATAAAAAAAGCGGGTCATAGTAAAGAACTAAAATACTAAGTACTTTTTTATTATCATATTGCAAACAATTGTGAAACTGAAATTAACCTTATAAGTCACTAATGGGCGGTCTAATGGCCGGCCGGTTTAGGCGCCCGCGCCAAACCCGTAACGAACGAGAAATGTCCAAAAAGCGAGATTGTATCTGTCCTGCTGTGTACGCTTGAAACGGGACGTCTGGCAAAGCTGCTAGGCTCCTACATTTATCCTTGCTTAAGAATAAAGTGCAGATGCGTTGTCACCCTTGAGGACTAAGATGAAATGCTTTGCCCATTAGCGGACTTGCCATCATGCCCTTAAAATATTTTTAATTTATTACTAATGCATGATTTCTTTCTTCACCGCTGATCACTTAGCAAATCAGCGCTAAAATTTGCGATTATCATTTTAGTACTGAGGGAATCTGGATCTGCAACTCGGTTGTTAAGAGCTTTGATTAGTACTATATTATGTTGTTTACTTGTTTTTTTTTTTAGTTTCCAATAGTGTTCAATGCTCAATGACAATTTAAATCCACTAATTATCTGTTTAATCGAAACCGAAACGCATAATATGATTCGCCAAAGACGTCCTTTGATATATTTTAAAAAGGATTATTTACGAGCGAATAGGTCCATTACCGCGTTGCAATATTACTGGTATTTCGTGGACTATGAATTGCGCAGTTTTGATGGATCAATACGACCTACAAATTTATGAAAGAAGAAACTCCGGCAAGGCATGGGGATTGTATGGGCGTGCCCTGCTGTCTCCCGCGCTACAGCCTAGTTACGCCTCGTATGCCCTAATTTTGACGTACTTACTTCCTTTTCTCCGAGAAGACGTTCAATGTGTGCACCGGGTGTGCCTGTGTGAGTGCGCGGGACTATTATATATAATTCACATTATTTTGGGGGAGACGAAGCGCTTCCGTTTTTCATTTTTATTGTATGTCATCAATTTCAAAGTAGTTGCTGTTCGGTGAATTTATTTATAAAGGTTCTGAAAGTATTGCATGTTTTATGCAAGTTACTGTATAAAATTCTGTTATAAGTTATAACACGCGCTAATACTTTACGCAAACGCTTTATTAAGTTTTATATTAGGTTCTGTAACACATATTATGTGATAATGGAATTAATTTCGTTTTCTAATGTTCTTATATAATAATAAATAGTAATAGACATAATACTAGAAGGAAGAAATATTCTGCCGCAGTCCTTACGGGAGGATATGACCACACATCCTTAAAAAGT